TGTCAGAGTTCTTCCAGCACCTCTCACCCTGGACCCCTTGGCTGGCTCAAGTCCAATGTGGGGACACTTCTGTGCAGGGAGGCTCTGGGGATACTGGAGACGGTTAAGGACTTTTACAGTTACATCCATCAGCCCTACAGAAAACTGAATTAATATTTTACAACTCTAAAGAGAGTGAGAAATCAGGGCAAGAAAGTAGTCTAAACAAACTCACTGAACAAACTGATTTTAAAACCAGAGCTTGGGGCATGATGATCAGCAACTGACCTCAAACCAGCATCTCAGTAAGTCCTTTTATGTTTTTATCGATGCCATTCTGACAGCCTCTGGCAGCGCAGTAATAAAGCCCATGACCCCAGCTTTGTTCTTTTCTTCCCGCTACTTGGTTTCACCAGCAGACCACACACCACCTTCCTCCACAAGGACCTCAACAGCTCCCTGGCGACCACTACGTGGGACACACACCTGCACAGCCCCACGAGACCCGAGTTCCCACCCCAGAAACCCCATCTCGGCCTTTCCTTTTGGCCACACCTAGCTGCTCACCACTGTTCCCTGGAAAGCTCTCCAAGCCGGGATTTATCTAGCTGCCTTTGAAGAATTAATAACATTCAACAGATTTTCCCTACAGGGCTCTGCCAGGCTCCATGACAGGAAGTCAATACACACTGTGGGAAACCGAGGTCACCTGCTAGCAGGTGGCAACACTGATTCGCTTCCAGGTCTGGCTGACCCGAAGCCAACGTCTGCCACCAGTGAAGATGGACACCCACATGCTTGTGGGAAGATGCAGGGCATATGGGCAACTTCGGACCAGGGGGATGGCCCGCCCCTCTCTTCCCCGTCTCTGACTACAGAGTGAACACTATGTATAGTCTGCTGATCTGAAACTGAGCAGCCATTCCCCAGGTGTAAAAGTTAAGAAGTGGCCTATTCACATTGAATAGGCAAGCATCACCCTGCCGAGGAAGAGAGTTTCTGCCTTGGCTTTTTACTAATCTTTTTTTTAAAAAAAATATGTATTTTTTTTGGGTTTTTTTTTTTTTTAAGCAGACACAATATCTTTATTTTACAGTTATGTGGTGCTGAGGCTCGAACTTAGTGCCTCAAGAATGCTAGGCAAGCGCTCTACCACTGAGCTTCAGCCCCTGCTCATCTTATTTCAAGAGCACATTCATGCCTCAGTGGCCACTGGGAAGTCTGTGCTACCTGCCCTTGCGCCCTGGAACAGGAATCGGCCCTCCAGGGAGCAGTGTATCTTGGTGAGAGAGCAGAAGAGGGCAGGGATAGGTATCTTTTAATTGATAATAGCGTAATTAAGAGTGGCCCCAAGCCACTCTTAGAAGGCCTGAAATACCTTATTTATTACTACATCTGCTATAATTTTATCAACCAGTTCCTTTGATTACAACCTATTAAAGGAAAAACTAAAAATACATAGATTCCTTTGGCAGTCTCTCTTAGAGCTTTAGATTGTATTTCATAAAAAATACAACTTTATGCCTAGTTGTAGACTACAGGTGTAGTGTATTTGTAAACTATAAAGTAAATGAGTAATAATTATTTAAAACAGGCTAATAAAACAAAAAAAGCAAGATAAAAGATGTTTGGTCACTGACCTCAGAGCCACTGACATCTGAGGCTCAATCTCCCTAGGATGTCATTTTCCTTGAAGAATGGCAAAGGCAGAACACAGCGACCACCCGAAGGCCGCCACTCACTGGCTCAGCGTGAACACCAAGCCCACTCCAATGCCCACTTCAATTCCTGAGATCTCCTTGATCCTTGGTCTCCACCCAACTCCCAGAAAGCCCCTCCCACAGGCAGCAGCAGCAACAGCCTGTCCTCAGCCCAGAAGTCCCTTCTGCCCAGCAGTTGGTGGCCTCTCAAAACAGAAGTCAGGGAGCTGGGATGTGGCTGGGTGGTGGAGCACTGGCCTGGTATGCCCAAGGCCCTGGGTCTGACCCCCAACACTGCAAAACATAAATAAACTAAATAAAAACAGAAGTTAGATCGCACCATTCCTTAGTACAAAAAGCTCCCAGGACCCTGGAAGAGGAAGCTCAGGGCGGCTGAGCGCCTGCAGCTCTGGCCTCCAGCCTCACTGGACTCCCCACTCCTCAGGCCTGCTCCCTCTTCCTCTGCCTGCGTCTGGGCTAGACTCCTGGACTCCCCCGGGCCCTTTCTCAGAGCGGCTTCCTTGGCCACCCATCCCTGTCTGAAACAGTCCCTCTGCTCCACCACCACTGTCAGCAGCGCCAGCTGGATAACACAGGTGAATGCATGAATGCAGGCCCTTACCTGTTTGGCCAAGCTCTATGATGGCAAGGATGTTGTCACTGTCCTCTGGTTTGCTACTCTGTCCCTGGGGCCTGGAGGAGCCTGGCACAGGGTTACATAAATTTCATGGAACCTCAGTGTTTCTCTCCTCTCTGATGTACATGTAAAACTGGCAGTTCTGCAGCAGCCCAAGGTGGCCTGGTATCATGCCTCGCTGGGGTGGGCAGACAGGACGGCAGCAGCCCCCTGGGAGTTACGAAACTCACTTTTTACAACCTGCAAACCTGGCTCAACTTTCCATCTGCTACCATGGGCCGGAAAGGGACAAAGCTGCTTACACCATCAAAACGTTTTAACTCACTGCATTGCAGGTATTTCTTGCAAGATGTGATATAAAACTTAAGACCCATTAAAATTAAAAGATGAAAGAAAATATGTCAAGAATAATAAATTCTTCTGACAAACTTAAGCATTTGTTTTAGACAATAATTTCCACAGACTTCCACCAGCTCTGTTATGTGAGTAGACTGCAGAGTGAAAATACAGCTCAATATTGACTTTTAAGGTCTAGTTTAAAAGGTCATTAACTTACTACCACCATTAGCAAACAATGAATAAAGTCAAACAAGCATGCTGTGGTGGAGTATAAGCTACACTGGGAAAAGTCTGAGCAAGAAGTCCCAGCTTCATGCACCATGCAAGAATTCATTTGCTCAGTGAACAAATAGAACCAGACAGGCAGAATAAGGCTGCGCCAGGCACTGTGACTTGCACATTTAAGGCTCTATTCAAAATTTCATTTTGCACCCATCACATAACTATACTAATGGCCACACTGCAACAAATACTTGGCTGGGCTAGTGATTAGCCAACTGATCCTTTGGAAGCCAAAGTGACCTCACCTGACGATGACAGAAAGTAAAATGCTATGGGATGTCTGGCACTGTGTTCTGAGGGTAAGAACTCTCAAAAACCAAGTAGCAGTATGTAATCACTTTCAAAGTACAAAAAGTCTACTACATGCACAACCACCTGTGCTCTTCAAGTTTTTCCGGTGTCAATAAGACTACAGTTATTCTTCCAGGGCCATAGTATTTCTTGTTACAATTTAGCCCATTTGTGTCCCATGGTCCCAGATGTGAGACACCTACAAAAACTTAAGTTTGGCAAGACTCCGAATCTGAAGTACACTGAAAATGGTGTGTCATTACTGTAACACAGTCTTAAGACAAATAGTCCCAAAGTCTTTCACGAGCCCTGCAAAGCACTGAGAATACACTGGGGCACTGACCCTCCTCCATGCCACATTTTGATAGGCTATGCTCCTATCACTGATGCCATTAAAATCAGGGTTATGAGAGATTTGGGGAGCACGGGATCACACAATGAAACCTGACCATATACATAACCAAAATAAAGCATTCACAATTCCTATAATGTGAATGCTACATTAGCAATTTTTAAATAATTTCAGTACTGAAGAATTTTGATAGAAAAAAAATCTACACAAACATACAACAGATCTGTCATTTCTTCTGGTCACTCTTCTTTCTGTTCTTGGAGGACACCAGCTTCATTTGAACCACCTCCAGTCCCAGCAGGTTTTATAAGGCTGAAAGACACAACGCTACTGCAGCAGGCAGATGCCAGCTCCAGCTACAGCCTTTAATCTTCCAAGGCATTTCATTTCATTCATACGAAGTGGTCTTCAAGAGCAAAGAAGTTATTTCAAACAGCCACGGTATTAACCCTTCTATACAGTGAAGGTTAACAGTATTTGGATTTAGGTCACATGTCAGTTCTTTATTGACACCAGAAAAACACAACCTGTTTATAAAAAGATAAAGGCACAGGCCGAGTTTTAAGGATTTCAAGTACCTATGCAAGGACAATGCACTTGATTTTAACCCACAAGTGCCTACTGGCTCAGACAGGCACTTCCTATCTAAAGAAAAAAAGCTACCCATCTAGAAGGAAACCATGTCTCATACACAGAACCTGTAGGTGAAATTACGTCTTATACACAGAGATGGTAAATGAAAAAAACCTTCGGATAAGTCAAAGATTGGGCCAGGGTTGTGCTCAGAGCACTTGCGGAGCATGTGGGAGACACTTGGTTCGATTCTAAGCACCACATATAAATAAACAAAAGTCCGTTGACAACTAAACAACATTTTTTTAAAAAGTCAAAGGACATGAAGCCATATTTAAGGAACAGAATATGGGGGACGGGAACTGAGCTGAGGGCACAGCATGCACAGGCTGCAAGTTCAACTGACACACAGGACAGGGAAAATGGCAACCTCAACACTCACTTGTAAAGGGCCAGTGAAAGGCCACCAGGCTAGAGGGCTGCCAGGGCGCCTAACTGTCCAAGGACACTACCTCAGTTTGCACTTCTACCTCAAAGAATGGTCAAGGAGACTTACACAAACATACAAAGGACATATCATTTCTTGTTGCCCGCTCTTACTGCCCCCAAAGGTTCCTGCCAGTACAGATATTGACAAAGGTTTTATCTACAAGCAAATCTGGTCTGCCTCTTTAAAAAGACGCCCAAGGGCAGCAAGTCAGGGCAGGAGCACCTGCTCCAAAGCTGCCTGGCCTCAGCCCTGAAAGGCCCAGACCAGAAGAACACAAGATTTCGCCTGGGGATCCCGCGGTGGCCACCGCTTCTTTGCTCCCGGGGAGGGTCCTAGGAGCCCCACCAGCCCACTTACTGTTGCTGGACTTGAGGTCCCGGTGCAGGATGGGCACGAAGGCTTCCTCGTGCAGGTAGA